GACCTTTGATTAGATGGAATGGCTCTTAACTTGTGGAGGTGGGAATTACTTTATTTGCTTGAGGACAAGCAAAAGCTTAAGTTTTGGGGAGTTCATAAGTGGGGATTTTGACCACTTATTAGCGCTCTTTAGCTTTCATTTTACTCCAAAAGCGCTTAATTGTGTTCCCGAAAACTGATGAAATATTCTTAATTGCAGGAATATTGGAAGATGAGCTCCCAATATGAAATCCAACTCAAGGACAAAAACAGGCACAAAAGCTCAGAAGTGCGGACCACAGAATATCATCTGCGGCCGTAGGTCGTGAAAATATTCCTATCAGAGAAATGTGAAAAGTGTGGTCTGCACATAAATTATGCGACCGCAGAAGCAGGGTTAGAGCAAAATTTTAGAGAACCTGCATCTCAAAGTGCGGACCGCACAATTATTGTGCGACCGCAGAAGAAGAGCCACGCGGCCGCACTCACATTTGTGTGGACTGCAGAAGAGCAAGGTACGGCCGCACTCAGAATTTTGCGGACCGCAGAAAGAAAGCAGTGCGGACACAGATTTCCACTCCCGTCAAGCTAAAGAAAAGTACGGACCGCACATGGAATTGTGCGGCCGCAGAACCTCCGAAGGGGAATTTTTGTCCGAAAATTCTAGCTTTGTATAAATAGAAGAGTTTCACATTTTTATGTTAACTTTTGACATCAGCTGCTACAGTAGACGATTTCTTTTACTCTTTTAAGTTGTTTTTGCTATTTTGAGCTTTCTGAATATTGATTTCATCATTTTAATTATCAATATGGATTTAGTTATCATTTCTTCTACTATTTCTTCTAGTTTAAGCATGAGTAGATAAATTTTCACTAGGCCTGTGACTCAACCCTAGTGTATAAACTTAATGGGTGTTTGATTTATTGCTTGTTTATGGTTGGGTGCTTATTATCTAGCCGTGTTCTTATTTTTATTTAAGGAGTTAATGGTTGCAAATATTAATTTATGCCTATTTGACTTGGTCTCTACTTGAGAAAGAGATACTTAGTCTAGAAAAACTTGGCTAGCACAAAATTGGGTCAATTGAGAGATTGATAAGCCCAATTAAAAGGTTGAACCTAGAGATAGTAAAACCCGACTTGAGCTTCTTATCAACTATTTTGTTCAATACCTATTTGAACTTGAGAAAGCGAAATTGGACAAAATCACTCTCTGACCGAGAGGTATTGAGTGGGTACTTGAGTGTTGATAGCTATAATACGCCCCGACCAATAAAACAAACTTTAAAGTTTACAACCCATTAGGTTAACACCTAGGTAAAAGTCATAGCACTAGGCCTTTTATATCATTTGAAAAAAAAAACAATTTTCTAGTTTCATTCTTTGAATAGCAATCGTGGTGTAATTTAGATTTTCAAACAAAATCAAATATTGCCGAAGTATAAATTTAGATATACAAACTCGCACTCTAAGTTATATACTACTAACACCTATTCATATAGCTCCTTGCGAAATTCGACCCCGACTCTTGTTGGGTATTACTATTGCATCGACCGTTTTCATAACCTCAAAGAGAGGAGTGAAATTGGATGATATATATATATATATATATATATATATATATATGGACACAAATAACAGATTATACTGAAACTTAGGCACATAAAGCACATCATGTAGAGTTTGAGTGTTGGATAGGGCACATGATCATGTATGTGTGATCTGAGTACTTTCTCCATTTGGTAAATGGACTGAAGTAGATTTCAAATAGGGAACAGGCTTAGGACAGGATAATAGATTTAAGGATGAAATTATGTGATTTGAAGCACCACTATCAATGTTCAACTGAATTTGGTCAGTAATTGAATTACCTGCCATATTGGCCACACGTAATCGTGTTTTTTCTTTTGCTGGTCCCTTTTCCTTGTTCAACATTCTGAGTATTTGTAGATACTGCTCAGGTGTGAAAATTGGAGCTGCTGCATTGATCATGCCATTTATCATACCAATTCCATCAGTTCCTGTGTGTTTAGTCTTCTCCATTATACTCACATTGTGTGCCATAGATGTGTGATTGTCAGTAGCACCTCTTTTTTTATTGTTGAACTTAAAACCTGGTGGATACCCTACCAACTTATAGGAATTATCTCTGGTGTGTCCTTTCATCTTACAATAATCGCAAAACAGATTTGTGTTCTTTCTAAACTTCACATTTGAGTTGTTTGCTTACACAAAGGAGCTACTCTCACTATTCATACGTCCACTTCTCGAAATTCCACTTTGTATACCATATCCACTACTTAGCCTTTGACTTTCTTCCTAAACTATCATTGAATATTCTTGATCAAGCGAAGGTGTTGGCTGCATCATTAGTATTTGGATACTTTGAGGAGCATAAGTGTCATTTAATCCCATTAAAAACTTCATAAGTTTTTGTTGGCGAAAAAACTCAACAAATGTCTTGGACTTCTCACAGTCAGTGTTTTAAAAGGCGTTTTCGAGGCGAGCCCTGGGGCGAGGTGCACCTAAAATGCCCTGAGGCGATGGTGTGGGGCGAAAGTCTTAAGAGGCATATGCCCAGTATTCGGGGTATACACCCGGGCGTTTGAGACGTAAGCCCCAGAGACTTTTTCAAATTAAAATAGGTTGAATAAGTCCTTCATATAATACCCAAATTCTTAAAATTAAGCTTGATAATTACTCAAAAGTTTTAAAAAGGAATTGAAATGTATTAAATTTAAAAGTCAAGATCTTTTTTATTGATTGAATCCCTAAATCATAGTCTTTCCCAAATTTTTTATCTTGTCCGCTAGTCTGCTAATATCTCCCAAAAGTAACAAATATTCAATTTGTTTTTGTACAAATACAAAGAGAACTTCATCCCAAAAGTTCAAAGTTCAAATTGTAGGTTAGTCATCCTTTTTGTTCATCCATGTAGAAAACTTTATTCTTTTCGATTCAAGTTACTTGTGCCTCTGAGTAGCGTNTATTTACTGTAATTATATTATTTTATAAAATATTAAAAATTAAATACATATGGGGCTTACGCCCAGTGCCTCAGGGCTTACGCCTCGCTGAGGCATATGTAAAACGCCTCGCCTTACGCCCACACCTTTTAAAACATTGCTCATTGTCACATGGCTCAGGTATTATCAACTCAAACCTATCCTAGAGGTCATTGAGGTTAGAGAAATAAACTGATACATTAGAAATGCCCTGCGTTAGGCAACTGATTTCCCTATTCATATGGTACACTTTAGTAGCATTAACTTTGTCAAAACGATCTTTATGTGCCTTCCAAATGTTCTGTGCATGTGAAGAGTACACAATTCCTTTCCTGAGTTCCTTAGCCACAGAACTTTGAATCCATGACTGCACTATGGCATTACAATAATCCCACTGCTGCAATTGGAAGACATTCTTCTCGTACTGCTCTCTAGTGCAGGTTCCATTAACAAATCCGAGTTTATTTTTCACAAGGAGCAACACCTCCATAGACCGTCTCCATTATGAGTAATTTTCAGTTCCAATTAGCATTTGAGGAACAAGTGACGTCCCTGGTGTGTCTGAGGGATGGATATACAGCGGATCGTTATAATCGATCTGCTGATTGATTGCATGTGAAGATTGAACTGTAATTTGAGATGAATCAAGCGTCATTTGAGCAGAGCATTGACAGAAAAAAAATATCAAATTTGGGGAAAATTGAAGACGAAGAGAAGAAGAGATCAAAGAGCAAGTGAACTAAGGGAAAAGCGTAGGAAATTGATCAGATTAAATGCTCGTTACTCAGTCGCGAAGAACCATGGCTCTGATACCATGTTGAAACCTAGCCCTAACTTTCGCCATTGGTGAGTTTGAGCGAGAAAGAGGAGAAGAGACGATAGAGAGAGACAGAGAAATTAGAAGCAATTTTTCTGTTAGCTGCCTTAGATTGAAAATGAGTTGTACATCACCTATTTATCCTAACTAACACAACCGACTTTGTGAAAGAGAAAATTAACAACTACCTTCTTAACTAACTACCTTCTAGAAGCGTACTACATTAATACAGTCACAACTATTTACAACTTTAATTTCAACAATAACAAAGCAAAATAATGCAGATTGACGACCTTTTTTTAATGCCCTTTAATAAGGATATTAAATAGTAGTTTCCTTATTATTCTCTCTTCTTCCTTTTTTTCCTTTTGAACCTACGCAATTCTTATTTCACTTTAATGCTGGTATTAAATAGTTTTCTATTCTTTTTTCCTNTCTTTAATAAGGATATTAAATAGTAGTTTCCTTATTATTCTCTCTTCTTCCTTTTTTTTCCTTTTGAACCTACGCAATTTTGATCTCACTTTAATGTTGGTATTAAATAGTAATAAGTTTTCTATTCTTTTTTCCTTTTAAGCCAACATCAATCACTGTTCGTTAGGGATATTAATTGAAGAAAAAGTTTCCCACTTGTTCTCTTCTTCTTTTTTCTTTTTATCATTTTGTAAAAAATAAACTTTAGTTATATTTACAATTTTATGCAACTTAAAATGTACTTGTGAAGGATAAAAAAGACGAACGATATTTCGCTAAGAAAATTTGTGGTTTTAATAGTATAAATATAAATAGATAGATAGATACATAATATTCTAAAAGAAGGATCTCCTAGGAATCGTGTCAATGGAAGGAAAAAAATATTTAAAAGAGATAAAATAATAAATTTCAGAAAACAAGACAAGACAATTACGTGGTTCGCCAATTTTACATACTCCACGATCACACGGAGAATAGGCTTTATTACTGAAGAAAAAGAAGAAGTTGTGAAGATGATTTACAACCGAGAAAGAGATACCTATTTATCAGCAGAGCAATCGATTGAAATCTTCAGCAAAATGACGGAGCCGGCGATTGTGAGCAAAATTAATTCTTTTACATATCTTTCACATGGGTTTATTCCCAAGTGGATTAATCAGTTGGCTCCTAAATCGTCATCACTATTCCCTACCATTTTTTGGAGCTTTATAAATAGACTCGTGTCTTAGTGTACTAGTAACTGGAACATAATTTCTTAATTCACCTGTCTAATTAGTTGCTACTATTGTTAAGTGTTAACCCTAAAGCATATATTACTGCGTCTTTCTTTCCTCCAAACGCATATTCGCAAGAGCCAAGAAATAGTTATAAGTTCATATTCTCATATCCTACTGTTTTAAAACACGGAGAAAAAATGGATGGTAATGCTGGAGAAGTAGCTAATCAAGTGTGTCCTCAAACTGTTGTGGCAGAGGTTACACGGCGCTGTGGCAATCACCATCCTACTGTTTGGGGAGACCATTTTCTTGCCTATGCTCATCTCTCGGTAAATTTGTATTTTAAGAGCCTCGTTTCGTTTCTTTTTTTCTTTTTTTGTTCTGCATATTCTTCTTGGTTTTAACACACTACTAGCGATGCCTTTGTTCATTTATTTTCAGTTGAAGCAATTCTATTGATCGATCTGTTTGTAAATGTCGAAGTGTGTGTCCATCTCATTTAAAATTTTAAATTGTTAGAAATAACATATTTTAATTTATTTAACTGTGTCCCAACATGTCCCCCCACTTGCGGATTTATTCTTTTCCATGGGTCAAGCACAGAGGCGGATGCAATATATTACCTACGGGTTCAACTGAACCCATAACTTTCGACGCGGAGTAGAAATTTGTAAGTAAAAATTCATTAAAATTGCAAAAATAGTAAATTTGAACCCATAACTTTAAAAATATAATGGGTTCAATGTTAAATTTTTTAAAATTGAACCCATAAAATTTAAATCCTGGATCCGCCTCTGGTCAAGCACATGATTTTTTTTATCCGATATTGAGTGTTAGTGAGATGAACTCACGATCTCTGATTGTTCTGATACCATATTGATGTTTGTAACCATCTCGTCTAAAAGTTTGAACTGTTATTAAAGAGAACACTTTTATTTACATAATTGTGTCTCAACAATAAATAATATAGAGCACAAAGATATAAAGAAAAAAGTTAAACTCTTTATTTACTCGCACAGGGAGCCAATGAATGGGAAAAGAAACAGCATGAACACCTAAAAGAAGAAGTGCGAAAAATGCTAGAGATGTCTCCTTCAAAATCTTTGCAAACTCTTGACCTGATCAACGCAATCCAATGTCTTGGAATAGCGTACCATTTTGAACATGAGATTGAGGAGTCATTGGCCTGTATCTACAGTTGTTATGACCAATTGAATGCTGAAGCTGATGAGACTGACCTCCATCTTGTTGCTCTGCGGTTTCGAGTACTTAGGCAACACGGTTATTATGTCTCATCTCGTAAGTAATCTTAATTCCTCCCACTTGACATTATGCAATTGTTACTCAAGCTAATTTGTTTGCTGTTAAGAGTTTAATTAACTTTTACGCACTGACCGTATAAAATATGATGAAGCAGATGTTTTTAGGAAGTTCACTGATGACCAAGGAAATTACAACAAAGCATTGGTTAGCGACGTGCAAGGATTGTTGAGCCTGTATGAGGCAACACAATTCAGAGTACACAATGAAGAAATACTGGACGAAGCAGTTAATTTCACCACCACTCATTTAAAGCTATTGTTGCTTACATTGAGCAATTCTTTCGCGATGAAAATCAGCAATGCACTAAAGTATCCAATCAACTATACTATGGTGACAGTAGCAACGAGGAAATACCTATCGTTTTACCAAGAAGATAAAGCACATGATGATGTGTTGCTAAATTTTGCAAAATTGGACTACAACATATTGCAGAAGATGCATAAAAGTGAGCTATGTGATATCACAAGGTAATTTGCAAGATAGATAATCACTAATTAGCATCACAGTTCACAGCACTGAATTACTTCTAAAAAAAATACATCAATTTTCAAATCCAACTTTACATTTTTTAGGTGGTGGAAAGAATTGGACTTCGCGAAAGCATTACCTTTTACAAGAGACAGAGTAGTTGAGTTGTACTTCTGGTCTTTGAGTATGTAATTTGAACCTCAGTGTAAGTTCGGCAGGAACATACTAACTAAAGTGTTATGCTTCATTTCTATTGCTGATGATATCTATGATACCTATGGAACAATAGACGAACTAACTCTCCTAACAAATGCAATAGAAAGGTATTTCTTTTTTCTTTTCTTAACATTAACTACTTAACTTTTATTTTCCCATGTAGTAATGTGTACGCTAAATAAGAAATTTCATGAAAAATCTTACCTATATTTAAATGTAGGTGGAACATTGACGACGTTTCAGAACAGTTACCGTCATATATGAAGCTTTATTACCTAGCTCTTCTAGATGTTTACGTTGAAATTGAGAAAGAGTTGGCAAAGGAAAACAACTCATTTCAAGTTAAATATTCCATAGCTGAGGTAAATTAATTTGTAGCAAATAGTTATTTAGATAATCTACCGAATTAAATTTTTTATGAGAATTCACGAGTCTGTGCTCTTAATTATATTCTTTCAGATGAAAAAGTTGATAAATGCATATTTTCAAGAGGCTAAATGGTATCATGGAAATAACGTCCCAACAATGGAACAGTATGTGAAAAATGGAATTCGATCTAGCACTATCCCATGTCTTGCGACTCTCTCTTGGTTAGGCATTGGAAATGAAGCAACGAAGGAGGCACACGACTGGCTTGCAAGTGAACCTCTAATTTTGGTTGCTTCTTCTATCATTGCTAGATTATCAAATGATATTGTATCACATGAGGTATATTATAATTACGAAATAAGTTTTGTAGCTTTTAGTTCAACACTGAATATTAACTAATACTACGCTTATTCCTTGTCGTACTTATGAGTTCAATATAAGTTATTGTGCGAGCTTAATATATAGTTGATCAAGGCCTCAAGAGGCAGATCCAGAAATTTCAATTGACTTAGGTTTCAACCGCTGAACCCATCACCTTGTTTGAATTATGGGGTCACACTTCAATATTTTCAGCAATTCTAATGGGTTTTGANTCAATATAAGTTATTGTGCAAGCTTAATATATAGTTGATCAAGGCCTTAAGAGATAGATCCAGAAATTTCAATTTTGTGGGTGCAGACTTAGGTTTCAACCGCTTGTTTGAATTATGGGGTCACATTTCAATATTTTCAGCAATTCTAATGGTTTTTGCACAAATAAGTTTAGACTAAAATTACGGGTTCATACCATTTTTTGTCTAATGCTTGTCGCTCTTATGGATATGCAGAGAGAGCAAGAAGGAGGAGATATATCAGGTGTCGAATGTTACATGAATGAATATGGCGTCACAAAGGAAGAAGCATACGTGGAGATTAGGAAAATAATGGATAATAGTTGGAAGGATTTGAATCGAGAATGCCTAAAACGTACAGTTGTACCTAGGGTTTTGCTCATGCCAGTGCTCAACCTTGCTAGGATGTCGGAGTTCTCATACAAAGATGAAGATTCCTATACTGTTTCCAAAAATGACTTGAGAGATATCATCTCTGAGGTGCTAGTTGATCCCATTACAATATGAAAACTTGAAAAGCAAAAACAAAAAGAAAACACGTATTGCAATTCTCTAGAATGCTTATATTTTTATTTTCAATTACTTTATTTCGGTTGAAAGGAGAATATGATATATATGTACTACATGTCATTATATTTGTAATAAAAGAAGTTCCTAATTTATCTATCTCAACTACTTCAATGGCAAACAGAGGAGGAACTTTGCTGCTTCCGGGGCAAACACAGGAGAATGCTTAAAGTTGGGATAAGCTAAATGTATTGGAATGAATATCATTTGGTTTCGTGTAGTTTGTTTAGTCATTGGAGTTGAACTCTTTTTTATACAGTCATCTTATCAATTTTTCACTTTGTACTGTTTTACTAATTTTTATGCATTTAGTTTTTTTTTGTGGGGGGGTACCTTGCTATAATATTAACATTTATCCAAAAGTATCCATGAAATCTATGGAGAAGAGAGAAGAAAGTATTCACATCACTCATGTCAAAGAAAATATCTCTAATATCCTAACCACTCAGGGCCCGTGCTATTGCCACCTAAAATAAATGCAAATTGACAGGACAAGTAACAATTGCAATTTAAAAAGAGAGTAGGGATTAAAAATACTAAACAAAATAATACCCTAATAAAAAATTATATTAACAGTGTAATAATATTAAAAACTGGATAATATAATAAAGAAAAATACATAACGAAAAAGTTATTCGATAACTATATAAAATTTTTTATAAATTTAATAAATATTTTGTTATTGGGTATACCGTATTAACAGATGAGATGACAATTGAAATTTATTAAAGCAATACGATCTAATATGTTAAACAAACTAGATCATAATTTAATTAATATTTTTTAATATTAGTACGACTACTACTTAACATTAATCCAAAAGTAACGTGAAATATATGAAGAAGAGAGAAGAAAGTATTCGCACTCATGTTAAAGAAAATATCTATAATATCCTAACCACTAGTAAAAGTTGGCTCGTGTTGCGTCCGGACCCAAGCGTTGGGTTGCATATTGTGAACTTTTACCATAGGTGCCAATGCATTAATATTGTGAAATTCTTTGTGTTTTGCTTTATGTGTCTTTATTTTAAATTGCTAATCTAATTTTGACATTATAAATTGTTATTCATTTGATATTAAAATTTTGTAAGTCTTGAAATTATAAAAGGTGCATCCTTATGCATTCTCATTAATAAGGTATTTTGACAACTTATTTTTTCTCGAATAGCTTTATCCCTCTAATTTGTTACAAGCTACGAAAGTTGTATTATTTTTGGTAATAGAAAAGTTTTCTTTTAGTGTGTCTTTAGCCATAATTTTGTCTTGGGATACAACTATAGTGTACCCAATATGTCGTGATTTTTAATGTTGCTTATGCCAACTCTCCCTTCTTCTTATTTTCTTTGAATATGACAAAAATTATATCTTAGCAGCCAACGTACTAACAACTTAACAATCACCATGATATATACAATAGTATCATTTTAAATATAAATGTTACATTTTAATATTTTAACCAAGGTTTTAAAAGACGATATCATGTAAAAACTTTTATTGTGTATAAATTATAAAGACTGCAAGAGTTTATCAATGTGGTTGTCCTCATATACTAATGAATTATTGAACACTTATTTTTCTATTTTCAAATTACTTTCTCTGGACATATAAAGTTTGCGGAAAAAGTGCATTAATATTTTTAATAGAAAATCTCATTACATGCAGTCCATTCAAATAAACGCATAAAACAT